AAAAAAAAAAACCCCAAAAACAAAAAAAGTTAGCCAGGCATGGTTGGCAAACACCTGTGGTCCCAGCTACATGGGAGGTTTGCAGGAGAATTGCTTGAGCCCAGGAGGTTGAAGTTGTAGTGAGCTATGACTGCACCACAACAGAGTGAGATCCTGTTGATGAAGAAGAAGAAGGAGAAAAAGAGTAAAAGGAGAAGAAAGGTAGAAGAATCCCAAAGAAAGGTAGAGTATATAGGATAAGAGTCTAGGAAACGAGGTCCTAGATCATGCAGGGCCTTATAGGTGACTCTGAAGAGTCTGACTTTTTCTCTGAGTGAAATGAGAAGTGCCCTGGAGTGTTTTGAGAAGAGTAGGGACATGCTCTGATTCAGGTTGCTGTGTGAAGAACTGCAGGGGCAAGTGCAGAATCAGGGGGACAGTTAGGCTACTGCAGTCATCCAAGGCACAGCAAGGGTGTCTTAAACCAAGTGGTGCCTATGGAGGTGATGACAAGTAGTCACATTCCATGTAACCTTGAAAAGTTAATAGGATTGGTCCAAAATAGGGTTCCTTGACCTTGGCACTATTAACATCTTAGGTGAAATAATTCTTTTGCTGTGGAGGTTGTCCTGGGCATTGTAGGACATTTAGCAGCATCCCTGGCCACTACCCACCAAAAGCCAGTGGCACCCCTGCCCCCATTATTATTTTTATTTTTAATGTTTTGAGACGGAGTCTCGTTCTGTTGCCTAGGCTGGAGTGCCATGGCACAATCTTGGCTCACTGCAACCTCCGCCTTCCGGGTTCAAGTGATTCTCCTCTTTCAGACTCCTGAGTAGCTGGGATTACAGGCGCACACCACCACGCCTGGCTAATTTTTTTGTATTTTAGTACAGATGGGGTTCCACCATGTCCCCAGGCTGGTCTCAAACTCCTGAGCTCAGGCAATCCACCCACCTTGACCTCCCAAAGTGCTAGGATTACAGGCATGAGCCACCATGCCTGGCCCCCTGCCCCCATTAAAACAACCGAAAATGTCTCCAGACATTAACATTTGGCAATGTCTTCTGGGGGACAATGTCCCTGGGGGGCAATGTCCCTCTGCCTCCCCACTGAGAGCCACTAATCTAGGAGGTAAGCATGGGACTCAGCTAGTCCAAACAGCCCTTCCCTGGGCTTTTAAAATTGGAGCTATAGGGCCAGGTTCTTTTCCCAATCAGATGGCGAAGATTTGGGGGATGCATTCCTATTACACAGGGAAAGCCCTTCTGCAATAGAGGCAGTCACGTATCTTCCTTTATTAGTTAGGGCCAAGCTAAGCTGCTAGATATAACAAAAAGGCCACTGAAAACAGTGGCTCACACAAGAGAAAAGTTTATTTCTCTCTCTTAGAGACAGATGATCCAAAGTAGGCAAGTGGCTCTGCTCCACGAAGTTTTCCAGGCATTTGCTTCCTTTCTTGCTGCTTCTTTAGGCCATTGTTGTTACCTACATAGTCAATGCCGACCTCCCAGAACTTTGTCCTCAGGCTGCAGTGAAGTGGAACAGAGAGGACAGAACAGACCAGGTTCCTCTTTTTTTTTTTTTTTTTTTAAACAGAGCCTCACTCTGTCACCCAGGCTGGAGTGCAGAGGAATGATCTTGGCTCATTGCAACCTCTGCCTCTCGGGTTCAAGCAATTCTCCTGCCTCAGCCTCCTGACTAGCTGAGATTACAGGTACACCACCACGCCCGGCTAATTTTGTATTTTTAGTAGAGACAGGGTTTTGCCATGTTGGCCAGGGTGGTCTCGAACTCCTGAGCTCAAGTGATCTGCCCACCTTGGCCTCCCAAAGTGCTGGGATTACAGGCTTGAGCCACTGTGCCCAGCGGAGAACACCTTAATTAATAGCAAGATAGGCCGGGCTCCATCTCAAAACAAACACAAAACATTCAATGGACCCTCCTGGAAAGTGGACCGGCCTCAGTGGATAGGAAGCTGGAAGTGGATCATCATCTGGTTGGTTCCTGATTAGACTCCTAAGGATTACAGAGGGCATAAGGGACCCCAGAATTCAGTGTAGCCTGTATCCAAGGAATTGCATGGATTGGGGCAGGGAAAGACAGAGACCAGTAGCTGGGCAGCTGAGGAGAAAAGACAGGCTGGGAAAGAGG